TTTTTTTTTTCCGTAAAGATTAAAGCACTTGAATCCTAAATTTATGATTAAAAATATAGATAATTTATTATCATGTTACATAGTTGATGGTCAATAAAAATAATAAAACTAGTGATCCAATAACCGTAACAATTTTCTTTCCATTTTGAAGTTTTGAACCCGGCAAAAATTTTTTTAAAAAAATGAAAATTGTATGCAATTACCATGAATAGAAAAGGTAATAAAAAATCAGAAAAAGAAAGAAGTAAATATAAAAATCTCCAATTTATTACGGAATGATCTATATTATTAGTAATAACAGAATTTCTTTAATATATGAAGTAATTATAGTAGGTTAAAAGGACCTCAATTTTGGTTCTGGAACTTTTTTGTGGATCTCTAATTTAATCGCTAGTTAAATAAATTTCTGTTTTGGGACATAATAAAATAATTAGAATTTAAAACTTTTGAAATTAAAATAAGAATTTATTTAATTTAGAGATCAAATAAACAATTCGTACTAAAATTGAGAGACCAAAATCAAAGTTTAACTATCATAATAGGTAAATAGTAGAAGAGAAATATTTAACAAAAAAAATGGTAGAAGTGAATTAAACATTAAAAAAAAGTTTCTGTTTTAAAGTTTATCTAATAAAAGATCTCAACTTTAAACTATAAAATTGAAAAAAAAAAATTTAAAGAGATCCTGTTGTATAATATAATTTATCATCAAATATATAGGAAAAAACTAGAAGAAAGAGGTGTAATTATGAATATTTCCAATAATATTTCCCTTAAGTAAAAATCAATATTTGCACCTGGCGGAAACTGACACAAAGGGTGAACTGACAGCCTATTAATCTAAGGTGCATTCTTCCTCTTTCATGAGCCCATCTCTTAACAACTTATTTAAAAATAAAATAAAATAAAATAAAAGTCAATATTTAACTAATGAAAAGTTAATTACAGAGTCTCAAAATCTAAACCGAACCCTACTTTTTCTCCCCTACAAAAGCTCGCCCCGTTCTAAGAAGCCTAAAACAGGGAAGCAATGGCAGACACAGGTCTACTGAATCTTCAAATCCAAACCAAACCCTACCAGCATTGCTCCCTCAACGTCTACGAAACCAACGTCGAGCCTCCTCACCCATCTGCTCATCTCAATGGTGTCATCTACTTGTATGTCACGTCAAGACATCAGGTTGTACTGAGAGACTACCAAGATGAAGAAATCTTGCTGAATGATGTAACGTCCTCACACTCTGCTACATTCACCATGCCTCTCTTCTTCCTTCTACCGGAGTATAGTGAGGTTTACATAACCAGCATGCTGTCGAGATTCGACGTGGATGGTGAGACATGTGAGTGCTTGAGTCCGGTGATAGCCAGGTATGCTGTGCCCGTGGCGCGGAATAGGGGGCTGGGGACGGTGGTGGAGGTGGAGATTACTAACTGTGATTACATTGACGAGAAGGAGATTGACAAGGATATGTGGTTTCAGAAAGAACAAGACCAGGGAGATATAGGGATTTTGGAATGGGATTACACAAGAGAAAGAAAGGTTTTTGAGGAATAGACAAAAGAGGGATTCTTCTGCTTTGTAGTTTGGTTTAGTTGTTTATGTGATATTTTCTGTAAATTGTTCAGCTCATTTTTATTCCTCTACTTTAAAAAAAAAAAAAACATAATAAATAACTTCAATCACAAGAAATCACTTTTTTAACTTTAAATAGCAAAATTCATCCCTATTGTTTTGCATTACAAAACAGAGCAAAATACACTATAGCTTTCCTCCAGATGTAGAAAGGATTACATCAGAAGAAGGAAGAGGGATATATACACAAGTCTCTTAAACAAAGTAACAGAAGTTTGCTAGCTCAGGTTGCGACAAAGCACACCCTCTTTCCATGCAATGGATAATGTACCAAGCTATCTGATTACTTCCAAAACAGATCAGAAGTTTAATCAAGAATTAAGAGCAGCCACCTTCTGACTAATCTCATCAACTTCATCATTCCCCTCAGCAATTGCTTCCTCATGCTGCAGAAAATATGCATATCAAGAAAAATGAGACTACCATAACATTGCAATCGGTGTTGAAACTATAGAAGCCTCTTTAACATATTCTGATACAAGAAATTCAATTGGAAGTTAAGATACAATTAATTTCTTTCAAATCCCATAAGAATTTTAATGGCCATACTTTATTCCTGTGAAATATCACCTGTTTTAAGTTAAGAAATGTGAATTTCTATTGCTGCTGATTAGGTTCACGTTAATAGAAATGCCTGATAAATGAACAAGGCTATTCAGGTTTCACCTGCAGTAAAATAGAATAGAAAAGAAGAGGGATATCTACCTCAGAATCTCTTTTCTTTGGGACACCAATGCACTTTGAAGCACTAATGCTGGCACTCTTCAACAGGCTACGGGAACTGTTATTTGGTTTACTAGGTTCATTTTGTCCGTCTGCAGCTGTGTTTCCTGAACCATCAGCTAACCTAGATTTTGGGGGACTATTAAGAGAAGTAGCTAGAGCAGCTGCACTTTGCCTTTCAATGTTTTCATCAGCAGCCTCATCCTTGGGTGCAGGAACGCGCTCTCTAAAGATAAGATAAACAATGATGGATCAAAACAAGTTTGTTTGGCCAACCAAGGCAGCTCCATAATTCCATCTCCACATAAAATAATTAATTCAAGAAATTTACCAAAATTCTGTATCCAATTCACATACCTGGGCAAAGAAGCATGCTGCCTTTGTAGTGGAGTGCTTCTTTTGCCTTTACCACGATTATCCTCCAGATGTGCAAATTGCTGCTTAAACCGATCAACACCACTATATTCACACAAAGAATACACTGGAATATTAGTTAAAATGTAAGCACAGAATAATAGAAAATCAGATTTGAATCATCCTCCAGATGTGCAAAGCTAGTATGATTACCTACATGCATACTGGAATCTACATAATTATACTGGGATACACATGCATACATACATATATACTAACAATAAGCTAGTATGATAACCTACTACAGATCTTTGAACTCCTAACCTTGAACCAAGAATCAAGGTTTTAATGTGGAGTCAGGTACCAACTAGGCTAAGCTCCAGCTTGGTCCTATTCTTTTATTATCTCTTGTCTCTTCTATTTCCTGGGGTTAATTTAGTGCTTCTTCAACATTTGAATCAACAACCACCTTTTTTGCTCGAATACGTTTCCAAGTTACAAGGATGAGCTTAAAATAAATGATATGGCAACAAAAGCTGAATTTGTAAATCACTAATTTAGAACTTACATGTAAGACAAGAAATATAATGTAATATTGTAATAAAATATGAAGATGACTATAATGTGAAAGCACAAACATGACTGTGTCACCAAAGTTGGAAACTTGTACTTTAGAGAAATAAGAAAAATGCTCTTTATTTGAACTTCAACAGACAGGTGCAAAGCAAGGACCAAGGAAGATAGGGGATCACGTTCTTTATTCTCTTTTCCATTCTTTTTGAACAGTCACCATTACAGATGCAAAGCAGGAAAGAATTCTACCATTTCCTACCAAACAGAATATCTATTCATGTTAATAGACTACAAAGAAGGAAAACACTTCTAGTTTAAAATGTCTTTAGAAAAAAATGAGATAAACACAATAGCTCTTATTCCAGATGCAAATAATAAGCCTAATTCAAAACTCATAGAAAGGATGTCTAACCTTGGGTACATGAAGTTGGTCTGGTCCCCACCATGGAGATACACTTGTAGCATTTGGGGATGATACTCTAATATCTGCTCAATCCGAACAAAAGCTTGTTAAGATATTTGATCAGCAAAAACTGGAATTAAGGCATAGATATTGAAGGGTAGTACCTCACGATATATCAACTCTCTGACATCATCTTTTGTCAATTTCCTCCTCTCAAATTCAAATTCTAGTTTCGAAATTGGTTGGGTAGAAGGTTCATGATCTATATTTGCCAAACCAAAGAAATATGGATCAGCTAGGGCCTGCAAGCATAAACATTCGGGAGATCAGAAGGTCACACAAGGCCGATGCCTTAGAAGAATTTTACCCACACTAACACAGACTAGCAGTAGACAAACTCTTCTTGTAACTGCAGAGACATAGATGTTTATGAGACACTGATTTCTCCCTTATGCTTGATTTGTTGACTTTGGTGAAAGGAATAATAATTTCTACTCCCTCTATCTAGAATAATAGACTTTTTTTTTCTTTTAATCTTCATATTTAGGATTTGGGAACAATTTCTATTTTCGGGTTAGTGTAGGTCATCTTCCCAAATTTCTTTTGGAGAACTTGTCTAAAAACTTACCTTCTAATTAATGTTTTCCACAATCAACTGTTTGGATTGAAAGTTCTATTTATGTAGATCATGCATGTCAATTTTCATGTATTTAACGGTGTTAAATTTTGCATAATTAATGCACTAGTTAGGCCTAGTAGATCAATATAAAAATAAACATGCATGATCTATATGAATAGAACTTTCAATCCAATAGTTGGTTTTTGAAAATATTAATTAGAAGATGAGTTTTTAGACGAGTCCAAAAATTAAAAAAATTGGTAGGATAACCTGCAAAACACTTTTCCCTTATATTTTTACCTATTTTATCCTTCAAAAAATAAATAAAAATAAAGAAAGCTTTTTTATGACTATTATTTTGGACAAATTCTAAATAAAAAACTGTCTATTATTTTGGGATAAAGGGAGTAATTTTCTATGAAAAGAAAGAAAAAATTGCTGGCCGCACTTCACCAAAGCATTTCTATCTGAGATCATTGCTTAATTGCTATCAATTGAATAGGATTCTTTTAGCATCTTAATTCATAATTTTCCTGATTTTAAATAATGCTAGTTAGAAATGTTCCTTAATTGTCAAGTTATGTTTTCATGCATAACCCATTTTCCTTCTTAGTATCATCTCAAAGAAATCTTTTCATCTTTCACATTGCTGAGTCTTACTTACCTCCTCAGCTGTAGGACGATCTTTAGGATCAAAAGCAAGAAGGCGTTCAAGCAGGCGAAGAGCCAATGGATCTGCATCAGGGAATTTTTGTGAGAAAGGGACTGGTTGCTTTTTCTGCATGTTACTAAGATACCTCCTTGCCTTTTCATTTCGAATCTGTCAAGGTAAATTGATCATTGATAAATCAATCTTTCATTTTGAGCTGAAAAGCATCTCAGGTCAAAGTGTCAAACCACAAGCATGGGCAAGTGAATGTAAGGCAATGAGAAAACTAACTCTTGAAATGGCTTCTGGAGGAGGAGTGCCAAGGAAATCAGTCATAAGATCCAATTGATGCACCACATTTTTACCAGGAAATAGAGGTTTTCCTGAAAGCATTTCAGCAAATATGCATCCTATGCTCCAAATGTCAATTGCGGGGGTATACTGCCAAAGGAAAAGGGTAAAAACACAGACTAAATATAAAAATGTAGAATATAACAAAAATCTTTGAAAACAAAGTAAAAATAAAATGAAATTTTAATCTATAAACTACTCATATGTAAATAATATAAGAATACAGACAAACAAATGCAAAACACACAATCATAGACCTAGGCATGCGCAAGACAAATGTATACCTAAAATGGCCAACAGAGAGGTAGCCAGGCAACCTTTTTTTGCATTAATTCTGAACCTAATACAGTAATAAAAGAATACTATGGATGATCAAAAAAATAAAAGTAATATAAGAATACTACTAAATTAAAATCTGAAAACATAATTAAGGGCACTTTTACATTAAACAATCAATAATCATGTGTATATGTGCAGAAGGCATTAAGGAATATCCAAATGGTGTCTGTCCTACAAATTAGAATTAAGGAAATCATTAAACAGAAGAGAAGGTTAGTACTGTTTAATCACAATGCCAAAAGCTATCTCTGGGACTAGAAATTAAACTTGAGATAACATCAAAGATTGAAACTTAAAGGATCATATGCTGCCTACTTTGGAGAAAAATGATCCGCAGAGCTCAGGAGCACGATACCAACGAGTTGCTACATAGTCCTTCATAAATTAAACAAGTTTAGTTAGCAAAAGGTGTTCTAGACGGTTAACTTCTGTAACTAGAAACAAAGTTAAGCAAATTAGCAAACATTCAGATGACCAGAGCTTTACAATACAAATAATAATAATAACAAATCAAGACTTAAATGATATGATAACATACAGTCCAAAATATAGCTGAAGGCGCATCATTGAAAGATACTCGTGCAAGTCCAAAATCACATATCTTCAACTTACAGTCAGCATTAGCAAGTATATTTTTTGGTTTCAAATCTCGATGAAAAATATTAGCTGCAAGAGAAGATGAAAAGGCAAGAAGTTAATAACCCTAAACCAAAATGCATGAAATAGGAAGTATACTGAAAAACACTGACCAGTATGTATATATTTCAAACCACGAAGAAGTTGGTATAAGAAAAATTGATAATGCTCAGGAGTAAGATCATCATTTGCCTTAATTACTTGGTGAAGGTCAGACTCCATCAACTCAAAGACCACATAAATATCTCTGAATTCGCGCCGTGAAGGAGGAAGCATAATATGCTTTATTTCTACAATATCAGGATGTTGAAGCAAGCGGAGGAGCTTAATTTCTCTCAAAATCCTTGTTGCATCAGAGACATGGTCAAAAACATCATTAATCTTCTTTATGGCAACCCTCTCACCAGTCTGGGTATCAGTTGCAGAACCAACAACTCCATAACTTCCTTTTCCAATGAGTTCCTGGATTTGATATCGGTTTGCTTCTCCATACTCAGTGAAAAATTCTGTTTCTAATGCATTCTGTATAAAGGTTAACAATGACTAGTCATTAGATGGAAGAAGTCTAGTCAACGACAAGAATGGAAATTTAGATAAAACATATATCTATTGACTCAAAAAGATTTAAAATTACAGTAAAAAGTGCAAATCAGCCCCTTTACTTACAGATTGGTGGAAGAGAAGGAAAAAAAAAACTGAAATATCAGTCTCAACAAACGCTTATCTAACAGCTGATGTCATCATCAGTCCATCAGCTTTCACTTTGTGGTTGCTTAATTGGGCATTTTGTGGACCTACATAATGACATGGTTGCTTACATGACATTTTTGTGCACCCAGATGATGACATGGCTTATATTTAAATTAATAATTCATTTTTATTAATAAATGAATATCATTCACTAATAATGTATTTTTTAGTAATTAATTAATATTAATATTATTAATTAATTTACAGCCAGGTCCCAATCTGGGACCAAGGCTCATGTTTGAACAACCAGCCATTGCTATAGAGGAGAAAAGGAGGATGAGGAAGAGGAGGTGAGCCAAAGTGGAGGGTGAGTAGGTGTGGCCAGGGAAGGGAAAAGTGAGGGGAAGTGGGGAGAGAAAGGAAGCAGAAAGAGAACTAGGATTTGAGGATATTTTCATCTTTTCATTTGTTTTAGTTTTATCAAATTTACATGCTGGAAAAGAAATGCACGTAGACCTTCCAGAAGCCACATTAGACTCTAGCACAGCAGTGGGGGCATCATATCGTTGTTTAATGTTGAAAGATGATGTCAGCTGTTAGACAAGGGCTGATTCTGATTTCCCACAATTGAGAGGCTGATATTCCACAATTTGTGTACAGGGCTGACCTTCCACCAACCTGTAAGTAGAGGGGCTGATTTGCACTATTTGCCTATTATTAACTCTTCTACTCTATCATATTACTGGTGCCACAGAAAACAAATAAGAAACCAGAAACAGAGTAACTTAAGTTCTCTTAGAGCTAAGTAAACCAGATCAAGAACTGAAATACAAATGCTAGCATGAAATTTGACTTTTGTCTACTTAAAAGCCATTAGAAATGCAACAAATGTAAATGCATCCTCTCAACAAATACTCATCATCTGCACCTGGCCTAGAAGGCTAATTGGCTACAAGCCTTAAAGAGGTGCTTCCAACCTTAGTTGTAGGGATCAATTCTCCCCTCCCCAAATTTGTACTTGTTCACAAAACAAAAACAAAAAAAAAAAATCATTATCTTCAGAAGCTATGTACTTGAAAATACAACATAAAAAGGGAAAAGCAAGACAATTCAAAGTTGGTAAGCATCCAATGATCAAGTCACTAAGGAGATGTGTCACCAAATGAAAAATCAAATCATTCAATAAGAAAAGGCAGCAGTTTAACAATACGCTTAACTAGGCAAATTTTCTCTTTTGAAGCCCCATATCATTAACAATATAAAATGCAAAGCTTTCATGTTTTACCATTGTAATGACTAATGAATTTTGGAGTGCAAACAATGTCAATACAGAAGCAAGAAAAGCAATAATGGAAAAAAAAAAAAAACAAAAAGGAATTCCTCACGGTTAAATGCAGAGAAATGTGTCATCAAATGAAAAATCAAATCATTCAATAAGAAAAGGCAGCAGTTTAACAACAGGCTTAACTAGGCAAATTTTCTCTTCTGAAGCCCTATATCATTAACAATATAAAATGCAAAGCTTTCATGTTTTAAAATTGTAATGAATTTTGGAGTGCAAACTATGTCAATACAGTATAGTACTGCAAAACAAGATTACTATATAAAATGAAATAATTAAGACAATTACACTGCATAACATGGAGATCCAAAAAAAATACACCCCTATCCTTCAGGAGACCACTATTTTTAATGCAATATTGAGCCTATGATCAAGACAGAAACATTCCTCAATTAAAATCAATGAAAAACCATTCAAGTACAACTTTTAGCAATCAACCTAATCAATAATTAAACATGTACTATATAAAAATATTTCTGTTTAAAAGATTCTGAAATTTTGATGCTTTTTTATTGAGTATACCATTTTTAAGATAGAGAAATTAATTGAATATATGCATAGAGTTAGAAGCGGGCTTAACTAAGCAAATTTCCTTTCTTTTTCAAAGTTTTATACATTTAACAACATAAATCATAAAATGCAAAGCCTTGATTTTTTTCAGTGATAAATATCCTTCTAATTCCTTTCCAAATGTATACTCTTTTAGCTACAATCCTGAGATTTCTCCACTGCCAAACAAATTCATAAAAAGAAAGCAAAATACCAGAATTCAATTCTCATGAAATCTAAAAGAAAAGAAAGAACCCAACAATCACGCAAGAGAAACAAAAGAGATATCAAGGAAGAACAGAATCAAAGCGAGATCTCCAGAGGGAAAAGATAAAGAAGCAGAGACCTTCTTGTGAGGATCCATGACAGAAACGGGGAGGTAATTCCGTTTGGGAACTTTGACGATCTTCAAAGCAGAGATGTCGAAATATGTAACTACCGCGGGCTCCTCCTCACAACCTTCTTTACTCACCGGCGCAGAGCCACTGCTCTTGTATTGATCGACGGCAGCAGAAGTATTGCAATTGCTACTGCTGTTGTGATTGCTAGAGAAAATGTTACGTCGTTGAAGCCAGCGACGAACTGCGTCCACGAGTGTTCTAGCTCCCCCCATATACTCTCCGATTTGGATTCACAGCCCAACCAATTCCAGCATGCCCGCTCCTCCTTCTCTCTCTTCCTATTTCCTCTCCGGAAAAGCCACCTATTATTCTTTTGTTTCGGATATCTTCTGTTATGAGTTCAATAAAGGCGTTTTTTGGCTTGGAAATTGAGACACTTACCAGACGTGTATTGGAAATTCATAAATTTT